TGTTTTCTTCAGCCAAGAGAATGCAATCAGCACTGATGAAATGAAAAGCCGGGAGACAAGCATGTCGGAAAGGAGGTGGGTTTAGTTTAGTTCTGGATCAGCTGGCAGCTTGATTGGGTTACCATAAGGATTTTTGTGCAGTTTTTACAGCATTTTGTAATTCAAAGGCTCTTTTGTGTGCTTTGGTTATTGGAATATTTTAGTCTGTTTCCCAAAGGCTAGCAATGAGTCCAAAGTGTTGACTCCCGTAGGTTTAATCCTTTTAAACAAATGTAATTAGTTTTACCCCCTTATCTTGAGTCTGTCTATGGCTTTTAGAAAGTTTTCTTTGAAGATAAAAAAGGTTAAGGCTTTTCGCAATTGCAGGAGCCTTTCAGTCTCAGGTTGCAACATTGTGGCATGTGACACACCTGAGGCAGCTTAAAGAAAAAAAATGGAGTTTATGTGTTTCTTTATTCTGGGAGGCTTTTGTGAACCTTTCTTGCTTTGCACTTGATTCCTGTGTCTTTAAGGCTGAGGAATTCTGGGAGTTGAAGTCTGCAAGTCTTAAAAGTGCCAAGTTTGAAGACCCCTGAGCTAGCTGATAGTGGAGCATATTAATAAACATGGATAAATTCATCATACATTTGTCAGTGCGAAGGGAAAGTGATTCAGCAAAGGAACAGCCACTGAAGAAATTAAAACTGGTACTTTTTTCCTTTTTTTCTACAGTTTGTAATATTTTATTAGATTATAGAATAAAATACAAAAATACAAAACCAAATAGTAGGACACTGGGGAGGAAAAAGGGGGGGAAAGTGAGAGGGAGAAGGGGAAAAGAACATACTTCCTCTGTTCCAGTAGAAGGAAGCATTAACATTGCACCTCAACTTTTTACTTTTACATAATATTATAAACTAGCCATTTCTATAACAACAAATGAATCTAATCAACTCACTGCAGCTCGCCTCACTCAGCCTCAGCCTATTGCTCGTCCGATCAACCCAGGTGAGGCTGCTCCATCAGGCTAGCACTCTCCAAGCCCCGATCTGGGCCATCACATGGCTCTTCACTTTCCTCTCAAACTCATCTTCCTCCACCAAACTCACATCCGGAGAGGGGTCTGATGGCAGATCCATGACACTACCCTCTCATAAACAAAAATCTTTCTCATTTGGAGAGAAAATTGTGAGGGAATCTCCTTGTTAAAGTCCATCATTCTGGAAAATCCTGCTGGTTGTGGAGGAATGTATACAGAATTCCTTATCTGGGAAACAGCTATCAGTCTTATGGATATCAGGTGATATTTATTTATTTATTTATTTTATTATTTAAATTTATATACCGCCCTATCTCCCTTACGGGACTCAGGGCGGTGAACAGGCAATAATAAAAATCACAGTAAATATTACATAAAAGCCTGCTCTAAAATATAAAACCCCTAACAAAACCCAATCAAAACTACGCCAGGCCAGCCGCATGGAACAGATGAGTTTTCAGGGCTCGGCGGAAGAGGCGCAGGNGACTGGTCGAAGGGAGATATTTGGTAGGAGGCGGTCTTGCAAATACCTAGGTCCATTGCCATGGAGTGCTTTAAAAGTTGTTACTAACACCTTGAAGCGCACCCGGAAGGCCACCGGCAGCCAGTGCAGCTCGCGCAGGAGAGGTGTTACATGGGAGCATCTAGAGGCCCCCAAAATCCCCCGCGCAGCCGCATTCTGAATTAGCTGGAGCCTCCAGGTGCACCTCAAGGGGAGCCCCATGTAGAGAGCATTGCAGTAGTCCAGGCAGGAAACAACGAGGGCTTGAGTGACCGTGCATAGGGCATCCCGATCCAGAAAGGGGCGCAACTGGCATATCAGGCGAGCCTGATAAAAAGCCCCCCTGGCCACGGCTGTCACATGATATCACATCATTCCCTCATTACAATATTTTGATCGGGTTTCTTTGCTGTTGAAATACATTTTCAGAGTTGATTGGAGCTGTACACAGTATGCTGAGTACAATTTTACTACAGATTTATATAATGACCTCACCAAATATGCAGATTTTGCTACAATTCCCTTTTTAATTATTCCATGTTAGACTTTGTCTTTTTTACTCTGGATGATAACTTCATTGAGCTATCTACCATGACTCTGAACTCCATCAGTCATTGCTAACACAGAGATCATTTATTCTTTTGCAAAATGGGGGGAAGTAAGGTTTTCTTATGTGTATTGTGAAGTTTGGTAACTTGGCCATTTGAGGTGTATTCACCTAGCTGGGGGATAGTATGTTAGAGCTTTTTCAGTCTGTTTGATTTACAGTCCTAAACAATTATTGGCAGAATTAGCCACTTAGGGATTATCTCTGGCTCTGCAAATTCTCACAAATCTTTAGTGAAGAATGTTGTCAAACGCTTTTTAAAAGTGCAAATAAATATACAGATAATCCTTAGGTCATTTGTTCAGCAACCATTCAAAATTACAATGGTACCAAACAAGGGGGAGTTATTATGAGTTCTTCGAGTTCTAGCCATTGCTGTGTCCCTCTGCAATTCTTCTGCAGTTCCTCTGCAGATCACAATTTGTAACATTGCCTTCTGGCTTCCCTCAAACAAAGTCAATGGGGAAGCCAGCAGGAATTTGGAAGTTCCAATCTTAATGATCTGCATAGTCTTTTTTTAACAATTGCAAATGGGACTACTGGAATTGCTATTGCTAAGCGATATGGTCATGTGACATCATGCTTATGGTCATGGAGTTATGGTCCAGTTGCCGTTGTAACTCAAGGGCTACATGTATAGTGTCTATTAGATTATCTGTATCTATATGCTTGTTAACATCCTCAAAAAGTCTAAAAGATTAAGACTTAATCATATTGAAATCACATTGTCTCTTACTCAGTAAGATTGAGTTTACATTTAAATTGAACATCTATTACTGCAGTTTTGAATATTTTTCAAGCGCTAGAGAGAGACTTATCCGTTTCAGTTTTGTTTTGAAGTCCTTTCTTCATTTTGCCCGTAAACATCTCTTTGATAGCCCTTCGACTCTTTTGGATCCTTTTTTTGCATTGATAAACTTAATGGGCAAAATGGTTGTCTTAAATCTTGCAGATGCTTAAGACATCTGTTTCATTGCCTAAAATCTCTAAAACTTTTAAAATGCAGTGTTTGACGTTCTTGTGTAGGTTGGTGCAGATCTTGAGCTAGTGGAAGTTGCACATGCCTAATTTGAGTGTTCCCGTATTTCCTGAAAATAAGACCGGGTCTTATATTAGTTTTTGTTCCAAAAGACGCATTAGGGCTTATTTTCCAGTTAAGGCTTATCTTTGGGGAAATATGGTATTAAATGCATCTATCTGGCTGACAATCTTAACTGGGGCTTATTTTTGGGGTAGGGCTTATATTACCGGCATTATGAAAAATCATGCTAGGGCTTATTTTCCAGTTGGGTCTTATTTTGGGGGAAACGGTATGTTGAATAATTGTTCTAATAACTAAATACAGTTTGGTTCAATATAGTTTTATGTTACCGATGTGATTCTGAGCATTGTTTAGGATTAAGCCTAATATTTACAGAAGACTCCTTCACTACCTCTTGGAAGGCACAAACATTTAGCATATCCAGATATTTGGTCTTCCTATCAGATAACATTCATTTGTCCATTTATAGTATTCATTATATGAGTGCAGTTTGAGTCACAGTATCTTTTTAATGTCATTTTCCTTCTGAAACAACTTGAGCTTCTTAATTCCCACTGGAAGGAATATATCATGCAACATAGAGATTCTGTGGAAGAATGTGCTTCACTTCTAGTTTACAGATTGCTTCTTTGAGACATGGAGCCACTCTATGCAATAATTGCTGCCCTTTGTATGACTTATATCTCAACAAAAATGTATCCAATTGCTTCTCTCCATTTCACCTGATTTCTGTAATACTTGCCATATAACTGTGTTCTCTTCTAGCATTAAACACATCTCATTTTGACTCAGAGACTTCTGGGATTTGCATACAAGTGCTTATACACAATATTTTCATTTAATTTTTCCCCATATGGCCTTTTTGATCAACTACACTAATTTTCTAGATGTGCAGTCTCCCCCCCCCCTTAAAAATTATAATAATTTATACGCTCATCCTCTGGAGTGGTTTCTTCCTGTACCAAATGCTCCTTACATTCTGTCAGCTTCCCCCCCCAGAATTAGTTTGAAAGCTGCTTTGCCACATTTTTTGATAATATGTGCCAGCAATCTGGCACCTTCTTGGTTTATGTGGGCTATCCCCCATTTGCAGAGACCTAACTTGTTCCCAAAGGTGTTCTAATGTTTCACAAATCCAAACCTTCCTCCCAGCATCTTCTCATCCAGGCACTAAGGCTGTTCAGGTTCTGCCTGTTTAATGGGGCTGGCATGTGAAACTGATAGCATTTTGAAGGAATCTGCTTTGATAGTCTTGGGTTTTAGCATTCTATTCCATAAATTTGGTTTCCAGGACTGAATGATTATTTTTTGCTTTCATTAATGCCACTGTGTAACATGGCCACATACTCTTCTACAGCACTATCTGGCAGACTACAATACATGGTGTGTTATACCCACAAGCTTTAATTCTGTCAGGCAAATACCATGCGACTGAATGCCTAGCGCTTAACCACCCATCTGTAGTGGAAGTTATAAGTACAGCAAACAAATGTAGGTTCATCCCTTGTCTTTTATGCAGCATATCAGTACCACTTACATATAAAAGTAAGTGTTCTAAAATACATCTTTTAATAAACCCCCATTCCATCCCCACAAGCCCAGGAGTATCAATCTAACTTGGTATACAGACTTGGATAAATGGTTGGGATGAGGATGGACCCTTGCATTATTCTAGGAGGGTGAATAAAAGCACCTATTTGTGCGCCTATTTGTGCAAAAATATTGCTCAGCTACAAGAAAACAATACATTCTGCATGTGTTGCCTTTTAAAATATTGATAAGGTTTTTAGGAAATTCTGAAAAAAAATTAATTGGTACCTGCTTTTTCTAGATCAGAGGAACCTTGGTATGTCCATGAGAGTAGAGCGTTCTACTCTGGATCAGGTGAAGAAACGTTTTGAGGTGAACAAGAAAAAAATGGAGGAGAAACAGAAGGATTATGACTTTGAAGAGAGGATGAAGGAGCTCAGAGAAGAGGTGAAGTATTACTCAGAAATTAAACAGGACATGATTGTAATGGAATACATATTAAGCTGATCGGTGTTCTTCTATTATGATTATCTTGCTGAAGAGTCATTTTTACAATTGCCTTTTAAAAAAATGCCCAGCAATAATGGTGATTGTCATTCTAGATGGAATTAGATCTTTGTGTCAAATTCAGCATATTTACTATTTTGATATTGGCTCAAAAGTTGCTTGTCTTGATAATGATCAGGAAAGTTATTTTTGTTCCTTGATTTCTCCAGTGAAATAATGGGCTGAATATAGCATTCAATATTTCTCTTACTGTATTTAATTGGCTTTGCAGGACAATCTGGTGAAATTGTATATGAAGACTTCTAGTGATTAGAAAGGCTGTATATTTTGGTCATTTTCTTCTCTTTTTAAAAACCTAGATGTAAAAAAATTAGAATTATATATAATATAGAAATATTATAGAGGCAGGTATGCTGTCTGTTCTGTTCAATAAAACAAAATAGATTTTTAAACATTTCTTATACCTAAAACTGAAGTTGGAAGATCTGAGGAAGATTTCCAGAAGTCATGGGATAATCTTTAATACCACTCACAGGTACTAGCACTTCCTAGAAACAAAAGAAACCATTTGTTCTTTATTGCATGCATATATGCATATTTAACGCAGGTTGCAAAATTAAGATAGTTTTGCAAATTATTTTTACTATTTAGCATAGAAGCTCAATGAGGAAGGGAGGGAGGGAAGGAAGAAAGGAAACAGGGAAACAGAAAGAAAGAAAGAAAGAAAGAAAGAAAGAAAGAAAGAAAGAAAGAAAGAAAGAAAGAAAGAAAGAAAGAGAAAGACAGTTCTTGCAAAGCATCTTTTTTTAACAAGGGGCAATTTGGGATATTTTTATGCTACCTTCATCCATTTGAAAGTGACCTACATGATGACCCCTTGCCATGTTTCCTTGCAACATCTCTTCTCCTGCCCCCCATAATGTTAATTAGAATACAAAAGAGTGACTGGCCCAGTATCTGAATAGGAACTTGAACCTGTTCTTCTGGCTCTTGAACCCTTGCTGTAAGAATGCAAAGTGGGGTTTTTGGCAGGCCATGGATTGATCATCTTTATAAAATGGGAATTGCAGAATTTGCCTTTGAAATTTTGGTAACAAAAAACAATATAGCAATCATGTACATGAATATATGATTTTATTCAAGTCACCCTAATAATAACTCCAAGCCATGTTTTGGATCTCTTGGTTGTGTGGGTAGTTAATATAAAAAAGACCGCTTTTGCAGCTTTTATAACTGCTGAGAAACCGTCAACCAAAGTCCCACTTCAACATCTCCCAACACAAGCATGGCTGTTTTCCAAGTCTTGCAATCACACAGAACAACAAAATATTTTGATTAGAGCTGTAGAAGTCCTTTGATGCCAGAGCCATTCAAAACACAGCTTATGTTCTGCTGAGCAGCTGTCATCAGGCTGTTCCAAGAGCTATCAGCTGCTGACATTGCCTTCTGGCATCATTCAGTACCACATTTGTAACAGGGCATTAATACAGAATCCATGTGATTGTTTTCAAACAAAGCTGTATTTCTATCACTATTAATTTTGGATGAAGTCTTCAGTATTGGTTTAAAAGCAGATGCTGACAGCAAATGGTGTTCTCTCATATAACCAGCATCTTCTCTTGGCACTTTGGTTTGTGCATCTTGGGTTCCTTTTCTTTCATTGTTGCTTTGGGATGAGCCATTTCTCTTCCACTCATTTTTTTCTTCTTCTTCAGACCAGAAAGCATGTTGTCTCAGTTGCCCAATTTCTGAGGTTTGTCTTTCTTTTCAAAGATTTTGATTGTGCAAGCAACAAGCATGGATAAAAAGAGTTATTTCCTGTGTTGCAGGAGGAAAAGGCCAAAGCCTACAAAAAGGAAAAACAGAGGGAGAAGAAAAGGAGGGCAGAGGAAGACTTGACATTTGAAGAGGATGATGAAATGGCTGCTGTAATGGGTTTCTCTGGTTTTGGCTCAACTAAGAAAAGCCACTGATAAGAAACTCTATTTTGGATGGCTACTGTTTCTGCCCTGATGATGCTTCAAAATCCTAGAAAGACTTTGCAAAGAACTTGTATCTAAATAACCTGATACAAGTTGGGAAACAATTCCACACTTCCCGTGTGGGGCTGGTTCTGCCCTACAATAATGAAAACTTCCCTGGTTGAGAAGATAGCACCACATTTGCCTGTGTGTTGGTAACTCTAAATCTCAAATAAAAATACTATCAAATAATATCTCCCCTCCCTTGATCCCCTGACAATATTTAAGGATACATCTTTTTTCAAGATCAGCTTGAAATGCGCACACACACTTTCACACAGAATTCTGTGAATATTATAGAGTAATTTTTAAGCACTAAATTTCTCTTGGCCTTGTCTGCAGCTGCAGTTTTCTGGTGCGAGTTCTGCTTGCTTTTTACTTTGTATTGTGTGCATGAGAGATATGCTACTGGGTATGCTTTTTTCTTTTAATAAACTCATCAAAATCTAGTGCAATGGGGTTTTTAAAATTTTTATAAAGTGTTTATATACAGGGTGGGGAGGGGATTGATAGATTCATCTACGCTATAATTTTTCAGAACTCAACAACAGATTATTATCTGTATATTGAGCACGTTATTGTCTGCAGCATTAGCTTGCTGAAATGTTTTTTTAAAAAATATTTTCAGTTGGTAACTTAAAAGGATCAAGGTTCTATTTCAGGAGTGTCAAACTGCTGGCCCGCGGGCCAGATGCGTCATGGCGAAACCGCGCCCACCCCATTGCCGGCAATGGAAAAAAGTCGCAATACATCGCAACACGTGACGTTGCGAGTTTGACACCCCTGTTCTATTTGATCTCCTTTCATTGATATAGGTAGTAAATTAATGGATATCTGAAAATTTGGTAAGATTAGGCTGATGTGCAAAAAATATTTTTTCTTAAAAAGAAATAGATGGTGCTCTGCTCCAAAAATTGAGAATTTTTCTCATCAAGAAGAAATTGCCCCACTAGGAATGTCTGTATTTAAAAAAAATGAAATCTGCAATTTAAAGATTTTCCAAGGTTAGAATAGTAAAATGCCCTTTGGGCTTCATGCAAGTGTTGAGAAGGAATCCCAGATGAATCTCTTTTCTATTAAAGTAGAATGAGCCTTGCCAGTATCTTGCCACTGGCCATATTGAATAGCTATCTCTGAGTTTTATCAGAACGGATGGGGGTTTGATAGAGAAAAAGGAGCTTTCTTGCCATCTTGATTCAGAGTGGAGAAATGTTATCAGTGCTGCTCTAGCTGCTGTTTATGCCCCATGTCATTTTCATTGCTTTCTTAATTTTAGTTCAGCCAACCCAGCTGTGACTCATTCATCGGTTTAGGAGGATTTACATCTAGCATGACTGATTTTCATAGTTTCCCCCTTATAGTGATGGGATCGTTGTTCTTGCTTTTCTCCTCACTTTAATTAAATCTTACGTTCTTTCAAATACAGGTAGAATTAATCCTACAATGCTTTCTGCTGTTTTAATTCCTTAATCTTAGAGTGCTGACAGCTTCATTGCTTCAGAAATTTCCATTTCAATTCAGATTATAATCCCCATTGAAGATGTCATTGAAATGATACGCGCCTGTAGCACTGCTAGCAGAGATTCAAATGTCCTTGGAGACTTGATCCTTTAAAATAAAAAAAAAACCCTGCTTAATGTGCCTCAAATTCCTTCCATGCACTAAAGAGAAATGAACATTTAATTCCAACAGTGTCCCTATTTCCATTCAAACCATAAAATAAAAAACGAAATCAATGACTAAATATTCTAGACAATTTGAAGAGAAGAGGTCCAAAAAACAAAGGGGGTTACAATGCTGTGTTAATTCTTTTTATGCAGATTAAAAATGTAGAACATTTTGAATAATTTTACCTAGCTAGCAGTGTTGCAATGTGCTCATTATTGTACCTTGATCTAATTTGGTTAGTACTGATGAGAAATAGTGTAATCCAGGAGATCTCTGATACAGGTGAGCAGTGAATATGCTGTATCCTAGTATTATATGAGTTTCAAAGAGATTCCACTGTTCTACATATTGTTAAAAGCTGTTGCAGTTGAAGCACAGTCCTTTTATCTGCACTTTATGGGTGGGGAAAATCAATGACTACTTAGCTCTAGTGGTGGATATATTAACTTTTAGTCTCAGAGATTGACTAGTATTGCTGGGAAATAAATGTGAATGGCATTCACGTCTTGCTTATGAGTTTCCATATATGTTTGAACTTTATGGAATCAGAATGCTGTTCTAAATGGGCCTTTGATTTGATATAGTATTGCTCTTTTTGTGTTGTTGAAAAGGTTAACATAGAGATGTTTGCTTTTTTAAGCCATGCAGTACAGAAAATTAGCATGGCACATTAATGTTATACAATTTTCTACTCTAACTTTTGATAATGTATTGTTTATCAATTTTTAAATAATTATCTTAATGAAGAATAACATACTCAATAAGCTACAGAATCATATCAATTGCTAGTTAATGTGACAAAAGGAGAAGAAACCCCTCTGCACAATATGGTATGTATTTGTGCATCAGTGTGGGTAGAGAGAGGAATGTAATTTCTATGGTATTTTCTTCTCTGTTCCCTATTAGAAGCCTTTTACCTATATTCAAGCCTAAGGGCATCTTCCTCCATGGGGCCAGAGCATCTGCCTGCACATGCAATATTTCTGCCAGTTTTTCCTATCCCGGCACTCGAGATTTTCTCCGAGTGGTGGTGGGGGAAGTTTCTTTGTCTTGGGCACTTGCTGAGAGCAATGGAGTGTGTAGGTACAGAGATACAGACTCCTGCTGGATTCCCAGCAGCAGGAGCTGCCTCTAGCCAAGAATGCAAAACACGTTTCCTTGAAGGAAATAATATTTAGACAAAAATCTAGAGAAATGTTTTTCTGCAAAAATCATTAACCCTAAGTTCCCCATTCAACTTTTTGTTTGCTGAAACTAGCCCTTTGATTTCCTGCTGCTCACATCACAGTTCTGTATACCAACCTCTAATCATCCAATCGTAGTTCATCTCCTCTACCTGCTAGAGTTCCTTTGTTGCCTTTTTCATTTCTGTGTGTGCCATGTTCTTTCCAGGGAGCCAAGGGCTGCATAGGCTGATACGGGTGAATTTTTTTTATCTGATTCTATCTTGAATGGATACTGATTTGCTTCCTCATTGGTTAGGCAGAAAAACACTGGGTGAAGTCTGTATTATAATTTCTCATTACGGGTAGGCCTCACTTAATGACCATAACAACTCAGAATTTTGGTCATAATTCGTTGCGGTCATTAAGTGGTCACCATGTGACCTTACTTAGTTTTACAACCATTTCAGTACAATTGTAAAGTGAGTCATGGTTGTTAAGCAAATCACATAGCCATTAAGTGATTATGTGCTTATTAAAGAAATCCATTCTCATGAATGCAAAAAATGTCAGAAATAGGTTTAAAAAGTCACGAATCATTGTCAAATGACTGCAGGATGCTGCAAGCCAATTGCCAAGCACCCAAAGTGTAATTATGTGATTGTGTGTGTTTGTGTGTGCACAGGCAGTCATAACTCCAAGAAAAGGTCGTAATATTTTGAGATCCATTGTAATTTCAAATGGTTGTTAAGTGACTGGTCATCAAACAAGCACTACCTGTAGGTTTATTTTACCTCTTGTGTAATTTATTGCTCTTTATGCAGATATATATAAAGTCAGAATGATGCAAGTTTCGTTTTCCAATTTTAATTTAGCAGGAAATTGAAAATGCTTTGTATCCATTATGGGAATATTGATGATTAAGCTTGTGCTGTTGTTTCTTTCTTCTTACTGTTGATCCATTTAACCCATGACTGTGGTTGATAATAACTATAAAAATGACACATTACCCTCCTTTAACTACTGTCCTTCTCAATCAGGATTATTTTTTTTCTAAAGTTTTGTATATATGCACTTGTTCACAAGTACACCAGGGATTTTTACAAACATGAAATTATTGAAAAACTAGACACTAAAGCAAAAGTGACTTTAAAAAAATAAAAACATGCCAAATATGAGTATGTGCATGTATATGGGCAGAAAAAAACACAACTGTAATTTTAAAGACAAATTCAAATATTTTAAATATACTTAATATTTCTATCCAGAAATTATCAATATCACTAATAAATTATAACCAGATTAAAATATATTTATGCTACATTTTAAGATTTTTCAAAACTGTTTCACAGATGTGAGAAGAAGCCTTGTCCAAAGCAGTGTGCTTTCTAAATTTATTTAAAAGCCCTTTTTAAAAATTAGAATTAGGTGAATTTTACTTGATTGCAATACTCTAATCAGTTGAGGTACAGTATATCTTGAAGAAAATAGAGGCATGAAAGAGGAATATATTCTAAACACATCAAAAGGGCCTACTCTGCAATTCTAAAAGGCAGAGTTCTGATGCAGTCTTAGGTATGCCCACTTGTTTGTGAGCATTTTTTGCTACTTCACTTTAGCATGACTTGCTGCATTATTGTGGACCAAGAAAAAGATAGTTTAGTTAAAGCCATCTATTTTCTGATTTTTTTTCTCTAAAACTTTTGTCTGGCAAGCTGTTAATCTTTCTGTTTGTTTTTGCGGTGCTTAACTGTGTATCCAGTTATATCAATCGTATTTTAAACATTGTGATAATCTGAAAAACAGCTCTGATTAAGTTGCAAACTTTTCCATCTGATTTGGAGTGCCAGTCCTAGCTTTCCTTATCACTCTACCCGAAAAATAGTTCCAGTGGATTTGAAAGCTTCCACATTACTTTGCAATGTTTTAGTTAGATCCAGTTGAGCAAGCAGATTACAATTATATCACAGGGTATTTCTACCTACATCTCTTCCATTACAGAAAACTGCAGCCATATTTCTGTTTATAAAGTTCTGATTTTATAATCATTTGCAAAGGCCAGAGGACTGATAAATAGTGACTGTGTTTATAGTTTTGTCTTCTAACTAGAAAAGGCAAGACCTGTGACTTAGGATACATTAAGGCTGACAATTACATCTTCTCTGGTTTCCCTATTCTCTAGCAAATGCTTCACTACCACGTGTACTGAAGGAACCATATCCTTTTTTAAAAAATCAACATTTTCTAGACAAATATTCCAGTCAAATATTTCATAGATGATCTTTATTTAGTATAAGAATTGGCTTATATTGTTCTGTTTCATACATGCCCATGGCCATTAGCTCCCTGTTGAAGAATTTGGGTTCTTCATA